TTACTGCTGGGTACAGACACAGACACACACATACAGAATATCTTCCCAATTTTAGCATATGTACTAGTGAATAAAGTGTGTGTGCATATTAAGTATCACCCAAATTTAGCATACGTCCAAATCAAAGTCTCACTTACTGCTGGACACAGACACAGACACACACATATAGAATATCATCCCAATTTTAGCATATGTACTCGTGAATAAAGTGTGTGTGCATATTAAGTATCATCCAAGTTTAGCATACGTCCTAATCAAAGCAGCCAGCATCAGACATAGACACAGCACATTTCAAGCTTAGGCAAGTACTAAGAGGTCATGCAGCAAAGCTCTGCTTCCATCTCCTCAGCCACGGCAGTGGGTGCTTAGGACACCTCTGCCCTATGACACCAACGTTTGAGCAGCTCCAGTGACAAGTTGTTTGCTAACCTGCAGAGGGAACCAATCTGACTATATTTGTTTAACGAAAGTCTTCCAAAAATAAAATCCATTACCCCTGCCGCCTTTTTTGCCTTTAGAGGCTACTGCCTTCCTTTGGAGTGGCTCAGAACAAGGGATGTGCTTTCCCACATAGAAACTTAAACTTCTGGTATTGGTTCTCAGCAGGGCCTCAGAAATGATTTCTTCCCTGTGTGTTCCTGAGGTTCATTTTCACAGTCAGTGCTGCCCTACCTATATTGCACCACTCCACCTTGCTCATCAGGCAAGTCAAAGTTGCTGGGAGGGGTCACTCTGGGTCCACTGCAGTGCCATCATTCTGCTTGCCAAAGGCCATTTGAGGCAGCAGGTAAGTAAGCAGTTACAGAGGCACATTGGGTTTCTGAGAGGCACCAGCCTGGCAAAGGCAGAAATAGGCTCTAACTTAATAACCTGCTCATCACACACAGTAAGAGACACCCTGACTTATTCAAAGACACCGTGGGTGGTGCAGAGGATGAATAAGCATGATTCACTGCCACTCTGGCACCCGGGGCACGAAGAATAATAAAACCCAAAGAATTGTAGCCGCCTGAGTAGTAAATTAAGAGATCCAGGGCTCAGCTAGACTCTAGACATCAATGTTACCATGGCAATAAAGGGCCCCAGCGTTCAGCAGCTATTACAGAGCAGGCATCTAATAGGCTAGTCTATGTCACAGCCAAAGCCCAAGGGGCTAGCAAAGAAGACCAATTAGCATATTCATTCATTATGGACCTCTGCACACTTCTTCTCTTAATTCCAATTAGTTGTTTGTTTGAACCAACATCTCTTGTCTGTATTATACTCATTAGTGCCTTTTAGCCAGTAGAAATAGGATTGAATTTCCACAAGGACTTCACAATTTCCCAAGCCTTCATTTTTTCCCCCTGGGGGTCTAGTCTTATGCAGTCACAAACCCATGACCTTTAGTCCCTCGAAATGAAGGCATCTCTTACTTTACAACTGTACTCGACAGATGGAAACTGCTTTGGAATGTGATGTGCTAAGGGATTTTCCTGGAACCCAGTGAAATAGGGATCTGGGGCCGTAATCTGGACCATTTAGGTCAAGGAAACCTTCTGATCTTAGCCAGTGAACCTGCTGGCTTTGCCTACTGGCCATTACTCAGAGGCTAGCTGTTCAGGAGGGGGAACATTGGACACCAGGAACCAGGTTGACACCATCAAACTCAGGCTGCAACTATTCCAGTCTGAAGTACTGCCCTTCAAGGTCTGGCCTGAGGCCTGCTTATTCTGGAAACCCTCCCTTGATTATCATAGCCCCAAGTGAATTCTCCCTCTTCCATTCACTTGAAGAAGGACACCCTTTATTAGGAAGTATTTATGGGCAGCCTCAGACCCCAATTTGGCTGATCACTTCCTTGCTCAAGTGATTTGTCCAATGAGTCCAGAGGTGACTAATGCTGAAGGACACAGATTCTCCACAGTGCCTGGGTGACTCCAATACAAGCAACTCTTAAGTTCCACCATCCTACCCTCACCCTACTCCTCACCCCTGGTGTGGGAATCTAGCTACTCCCTGCATAGGGATGGTTCATAGTTGACCTATGATGACTGACACACAATGCCCACTCACATACAAACAAACACCTAGATGGAAATGGTCCACGAGAACAGATGTGAGGAATTAGCCTATGCCACATGGTAATGTCAAAAATTCTCTAAACTGCTCTATTAGGGACAGAAAAACAGAACAGCCCAGAAGACTATATCTGTTCCCAATTGTCACTTGTCAATGACGATAGAATTTTACCAGAGCAGATAACCAGCAAATCTTATGGGGACAAAACGCAGCTGTTAATACTTTGTCCAAGGAAAGGTGTGCATTAGCATGCCTAGCTAAATACTTTGTCCAAGGAAGGGGCATGAGGTTTTAAAGACTTGGATAATTTGTCTTTGATTGTATAGTCATATTCAGGGCCTCTCTTATATATATGTATATATGTATATATATATAGTTATTATTTTTAAATTTAAATTAGAAACAAGGTTGCTTCACATGTCAATTCCAGGTCCCTCTCCATTTCCCTCCCCTCCTCCCGCGCCCTCCCACCAGCCCCCCCAATATCCCCTCATTTCCCCAGGGAGGGTGAGGCCCTCCATGGGGGTGTCCATAGTCTGTCATTTCATCCAGGGCAGGGCCTAGACCCTCCCCCAAGAGTTCAGGGTGAGAGAGCATCTCTCATTGTTGGATGGGAGTCCGAAGTCCATTTGTATACTCAGGGCCTCTCTTTATTCCTCCTCCTATGCCTTTGCAGCCACTGTTCTACTGAGTAGCACTGGCTCCTTTCTGCTGCATTGCTAAGTATGCTGTCTTTTTTTCATTGACAGAAATGCTTTCTTACTTATCTCTTTGTATGGATGTTTTTCCTGCATGTATATCTGTACACCACATGCATACAATGCTTGTGGAGGCCAGAGAGGGTGTTTGATCCCCTGTGACTAGAGTTACACTGCTTTTGAGTTACTACTTGGGTTCTGGGAATTGAACCTGGGGCCTCTGGAAGAGCAACCAGTGCTCTTAACTGTTGAGTCATCTCTCCAACTATGACAACTTCTCTTTTAACTAGAATTCAGTTTTTTTTCCGTTTTGGCATCCTACAGGATCTGGCTTCCCCATCCACCAACCCAGCAGTTGGCACTGTAGTCTGGACTGCAGTGGAACTACATTGCAAATAGACTAAGAATGTATTAAACTAATTGGGATAAAAGATTCTGGAGAATGAAATATTTCGTTGCTTGAAGTCTTGTCACTGCAAATCTTCTTTAGTCTCGCTACTCTTGATTTTTGAAATGTAATTAAAATGATCATATTTTCTTTTGTTAACATTTATTTATTGTGTTGTGTTGGTGCACAAGTCCATGGAGGTCAGAAGAGGGCATCACTTTATCTAGAACTGGAGTGACAGGCAGTTGGGAGCCACCTGCCATGAATTGTAGGACTTGAACTCAGGTCCTCTGCAAGAGCAGAAAGTGCTCTTACAACTGAGCCATCCCTCCATCCTGTAGGAAGATAGGACCACTTAATGGATCCTTTATTTGGTTTTGGGTCTTCCATAGGCCTCAAATTTATCACATTCAACACCAGGAATAACTCAAAGTACTGGAGTGGAGAAAGTATAAGAAATAGAGCTAGACATGTGTCCAGTGCAGATTATTCCCTGAAATATATCTTAACTTCTTGAAATTCAAAGTGAGGAATGGGTTTCTCTTTTTTGTAAGTGGCTTCTCTTTAAACACGTGGGGGCAAGGATGTCTTGGAAGAGTCCTGATGTGTGACATTAAAATAAATGAAGTAGCCGGATGGAGGTGGCGCACGCCTTTAATCCCAGCACTCGGGAGGCAGAGGCAGGCGGATCTCTGTGAGTTCGAGGCCAGGCTGGACCGACAGCCTCCAAAACAATACAGAGAAACCCTGTCTCGTAAAACCAAAAAATAAAAAATAAATGAAGTGCGTAAAATTAACCAAAACTAAAGCTATTGTCATCAGAATATCATTGACTTAGGATCATGATTAAATCTACCTAAGTGATTGTGCTCTTTGCCTTGGTTATGCCCAGAACCTTAGTGTCTGCAATATTCTCAGCCACCTGGGTGAAATGGAGGGAGGGAGTGGTTTTGAAAGGAAGGACCATGAACTCCACCCAGACCCCAGAGTGGTGGACCAAACAGACCCAAAGTGCTGTACCGTGTTCTTAGCAGTCTCTGCTCGTTTTCTTTTGCTGGATCCCATTTTGTCTTCAGGAGTTATATATGTCTGGGAAACTGATACTGCAAAGTTCTGCCTTGTTCCCTGCCCTGATGCTAAGGGATAAATATAGATCTCAACCACTACAGAAATTTGGCCAGGATTCCAAGGGTGTGTGCATGAGGGGCAGTGCCTGATGGGGCCACTGTGACATGTGGACTAGAAAAATGCTTCTTTATATCCAGGACCCTCTTTGGGATAGGGGGGTTAAAGCAGGGGCGTCACATCTAAAATTAAAAGGCACGGTACACATTTTCAGGGGTTCATGAACTGATCCAGTAAAGAATATTTTATAGGTGGCTTGGGGAGTGTGGGGAGAAGAGGGTAGGGAGAGCAAAGGGAATCTTCCCTGACACCCTAGATCCTTTTGCATGAGATCAGCCTTACGAAAAAAGCAAGTTATTCTTGGACATCTCCCCTCACCCTAACTCCCATCCATGCCCCACCCCTTGCACACATACTGATATCCAACTCTCAATTGAGAAGAATATGACTTAAGATTTCCATTGAGCCCATCATATTTCGGGTGCTGCAGAAGGGCAAGGGGTGGAAAGGGGGCGGTGAGTTGCTCATCCTCGTGACCCAGAATATCTCCCCCTCCCTGTAATGATGAGCTTGCTTTTCCAAAAGGGCTTTCCTTTGATTCCAGGAAGCGGCCAACCAATGAGAGAGGAGCATGTTAGATTATTTTGGGGAAGGGCTCGTGCCAGCAAGGTTCACTTTTAGTAGGCGCCAAGTGTCCCCAGCAACCAGTGTCTCCTGTACCAGCAGAAGCTCCAGAACTCTGCCCTACTCGCCTGCCTCTGCGGCATCCTGGCCCACTGAACAGCCATGAGAAGGCAACTCCGCTCCAGAAGGGCTCCGGCCTTTCCCTACGGTTATCGCTACAGACTTGTGAGTCTCGGGGAGCCGAATATTTTGCTGCCCCTTTTTAAATTGGTTGGGTTGGGTGCTGTGTAGAGTTTGGATTAAGGCTGCCTTGCCTTGGAATAAAGTGGAATAAACAACGTTTAGGAAATCCCAGACTTGGGAGGAAAGTGACTCCCTGCATCCCAGGGCACCCTAAGTTGCTCGGTGGAAGGAGGGCTGCTCTCTTTGTGGGGGAACAGAGATAAAGGAATGGGAAGATACCTGGGAATAAGCTTTATCTTAGGAGTCTAGAATATGAACAGACCTTTGGCAGATGGGAGTAGAGAAAGAGCAAGAAATTTTGCCAGGAGAAAAGGGAAAGAGAAGAGGCGCTGCCTGGCCAGCTGTTTCAGTCCCTTTGGGTGGTGGCTTTTAGGAACCAGCTGCTCTTTTTCTAAGGTCAAAATTCAAACTATAGCTAAAAATCACAGGATCCTTGACAGGAACTATAAGGAAGCCTAGACATAATCTCCCCAGAATCCCTCCCTATGTTGAAGGAAGGCTGCTGATGGTAGCCTCCTTCTGAAGTTAATAGGGGGCCAGACTGACTTGCAAGTTAGTGGGGACCCCAACATGAGAATGTGCATCTTGTCTGTGATTTGTGCTCTTTCCACTGTGTTTACGGTATACAACCTCTTGAAGCTCCGATCCACTATCACCCATTTCATTACCTTGTCTGCCACCCTACTTTATCAAACACATATATCCACGCTCATGCACACACACTCACACGTAACTTCTGTACCACTGTGTACTTACAGGTTCCTTTACAAATGCATTTGGTCCAAATGTGTCTTTGCATTTACTTTGCTCTAAACCATAAATGCATGTCTGTATCTATTCAGGTGGGGTACTCTGAAACCCAAGAAGACTAGTAGATGCGCCCCAAGAAAGCAAGGCATAAACCTTTTTTCTTCGCATATGACCACTTATATGCCTAAGGAATTCAGGGAAAATTGTCAAGATTGAGCAGAAAACAAAATGAACAACAACACAATTCTTCTAACCTCATATCAACCACTAAGGGAATTTCTTAACACTGTGATGTCGAATCTTTATTTTAATACCTGCAGTTTCTTCCCTCTTAAGATCCATCACGGTCTATGGAGTATATAGCTGTACATTACTGGGTTTCTTTTCTATGTTGAATTGGTAAAATTGTTGTGTTTAATTCCAACTATTCATCTAGAAGTTTCGATTTTAAGTGCCACAGGAGATCTTGCTCTTTATAATAGCTGATCAAGTTAAAATAAATCATTTGATGCAATTGTATGTGTAATTTTTTTCCTTTTAAATTATCCAGCCATTTAGATGTTTGTATGATGTTACTCGATGCAAGATCCAAATTTATCCTTTGGGTCATACTGCTTGTTTGTATATTTGTTTATATATTTAGATTGCTCAAAATGGAGCTACCTTCTGTCCTTCAGGCTTCCCTTTTAGGGAAACATGAGGGCCCCAGCACACACCCACTACCATATCTGAGCATGCTCACACTCCCTATCACATGAGGGTGATGCCACTTTAGGAAACTGACAGAAACAGAACCTTGGATGAACGTCCTCATCGCCAAAGCATTTCCTACTGGACTGCATTAAATAATTACATGGAAGTGCATTTTTTCACAGGATTTTGTTGACAAGGAGTCTTCGGAAAAAGTCTGTCTTGCACATGCGACACTTCCCTAACCCTGGAAGCAGGGAAGAGGAAAAGGATATTTTGGGTTCCTGAAATAAAGTTCTCCAAGAAGATTAATTCTTCCTGGAAGGATAAGACTTTAATGACAGCCATTTAAATAAGATTATTGGGAGAGCGTATATCTACAAATAAAATAAAGTCTTGGCCATGACCAGATGCTTCCTCTGGAGAGCAGAGGTGGTAGGTAGGCACAGGCAACAAAAGGAAGTCGTTCCAGAAATATAAAGGGATTTGAAGTCCTTCCTGATGAAACGTCACATTTTAAATTCAGTGAGAATTTGGTGCATGGGTTTCCTAGGGACCATGATGACTAGGCAATCTAGTACGTATGACTTCTGAGGTTAAGGGTGACAAACTTTGTGAGAATATCCCTCCGGAGTCCAGGCAGTAGCGCTGAGAGTATGCACTGAGTGCTTTGCTGTGGGCTTCACACTGTGAATAGACCATAATATGTTAGGAAATATGGGCCTGCCTTCCACCTGTACGCTCAAAGCCTGATTTGGGAGATAAACGTGAACATACGTTCACACACAAGAGAGCCATTTAAGATTGTGCATCGATTCATTTAGCACTGAATGGTAGGCAAGGTTGATTTTCCTAAGCCTTATACTGTGAGTCCAAGTCAAAGTCAGAAATCCTTGATTATAAGCACCTACATTTCGGGAACCCAGACTCTAAGACATTATCATGTTCATAAATCTGCTAAGCCACTTCTAGCCACTTGTGTTCAATGTGATGGAGGAGAAACTGTGCAGAGTATCAAGAGACACAAGTTCCGAGACTGTCAACTCTGTCATGGATTTGCTGTGTGGCTTTGGCCAGATCCTCTCCCCTCTCTGGAGCTCATTTGGACAATCATAATTTGGAAGCCCCCGTAAGTTCTGATATGGTATGTGATGCGGAGCTGTACGCTTGAACAAATTACAGAGCAATTTAAGGGTGCTGGTTATCAAGAGCTAGAGAGCTCTGGGCAGACTAAGTGCAGAGGGCAGACATTTGTCATTCTGTAACACTTTCACTGACCTGAACAATCCAGTTTGCTCAACTCTCTGCTAAAGGCAGCATGGGTAGCTGAGTGCCCTCTAAGTGGCCTTTGAGGAATCGGGCAGGAAGGGGGCAGCACAGAGTCCATGGCCTCTAGCATTTGACACATCCAACCCGACAGGTGCACCAGCCCTGACACTCTTCAGACTTGGACAACATAGAGAAGGGAGGGTGGCCTGATTTTCTGCTCTTGCAGTAAGCCTTGGCAAACTCCCAAAGAGCAAGGGTACAAGCCTCCAGCCTTTACGTCAGAGGCATATGAAATACCACTGGCGATGTCTGGGTTTTTCTTTTCCTTTCTTTCTTTCCTCCTCTCTTTCTGGTTTGTTTAACTTTCTTAAAACTATTCAAAGATTACTGCTTCAAATTTCAAGTACTGGCTGTAATCAATTGACAAATATATGCTGAGTACTTACTTGTTGCCCAACTTTTGATTTTATATTTTTATTTAATTTTAAAATTAAAATATAACTACATCCTTTCCTCCATTCCCTTTCCTTCCTCTAACCGCTTCTATTTGTCGCCCCTACCTTTACTCCCTTTCAAATTCATGGCCTCTGTCTTGAAATATATATAATATATATTTTATATTTATTATATATTATATATATCCTGCTCAGTGTTATTTCCATGTGTATGGTGCACCCAACTTTTTCTCAGAGTTTTTATTTAATTTAAATAACATTTTTCAATTATTTTACATATCTACCACAATTTCCCCTCCCTCCTTTCCTCCTCCCCTGCCCCCACCCCTCCCCCTCCCCTACTTCCCATCTACCCACCTCCTCATCCACTCCTCCATCTCCATTCAGAAAAGGGTAGGCCTCCCATGTGTCCATGTGGGCCCGACTTTTTAACTAAGCTACAGGGGGAAATAAAGGAAGTATCTTTTGGGATCTCATCTCTCAGGGGTTCTGTCCATCTAGCTTAAAACAGGAAGCAGGAAATGAGTCCTTGTTTGTGTTGGGAAGGCAGTGGAAGTCTTGAGGAGGGGTACAGCAGTTGGCTTCTCCTCTTGGTATCTGCCTAAGCCTATTTTTAGATGCAACTAAGGGTGGTGAGGTCAAGCAGCTGAAAGTGCACAGAGCATTAGGACAAAGCTGGCTTGAGCTGGGAAGTTGCCATCACAGGCATAAATGTCCAAGACTACTCCGTCCTTCAGTGTGAGCTCAGGTCAGTCCTGATAGGGCAAAGTTAAGTGGGAGGCCAAGCACCGGGACAGAGCAGTGGCATGAGATGTCATAGAGGATGAACCTAAAAACCTGATGTTGAAAGGAAAATGTAGCTGTGGGAATAATTCACTATGAGCTGTAGAAAGGATGCTTCCTCCAAAAGAATGGAGAAAGAAAGTTCACGTCTTGCAACAATGGGTGTTTTTCTGGGGAATGTGGAAATTTGAAACACCTCCAAATCCTGAGTTGTTTCCATTTAGTTTTGGCTGGTGGGATATGCCATTGGAATTTGTTTTTCACGGAGAGGTTTTTGTTTTGTCACTGCTCCAGGATGATCAGGATGAAGTGAATCAGAACTACTTAGCAGATGAGGAGGAGGAAGCAGAAGAAGAGGCTCAGGTGATGACGGTGCCTGGTCTGGAGGAAGAGGAAGAAGAGGAGGAAGGAAAAGAGGAGGAGGAAGAAAGGGAGGAAGAAGGTCAGGGTCAGCCCACAGGCAATGCCTGGAGGCGGAAATTACAGATCGTGACTGAATACCTGTGGGACCCGGAGAAAAGGATGTCTCTGGCCCGAACAGGTCAGAGTCGGAGTAAGTCCCATTCATCCCAATGCCCCAGTCTGCTGTCCTTGGCTTTTGATGTGTATCCAGAGCTCCTTGGCTGTACACTGGATGGGTTTGTTACATATTTCTCTTAACATTTCACAGAAAGACACCAATCGCTGGTGACATCCTTGGACTGACGACTGATCAGATCCATCAGAAAAGCCACTAAATTGATGAATAAGACTGAATGTGTGACTGAAATCTACTAGTCTCAATGTGCAGTATAAAATAACATTGAGAATGAGTTGAACGAGCACAGGACTTTTTTTTCACGCCCCAGTCCTGTCACTTTCTATGCATGTGACTATAGGCTCATCATTTATTCCCTCATAGCTTCAGTTTCCCCACATGCCAAATAGGAAAGTGGGGGATTCTGCTTTCCCTCTCTGACAGCATAATATAGGGCAAAAAGCATAAGGTTGAAAGGAATATGTAGAAGGCTATTTCTAGGTTACAAGACCAAGGCCCTGCTACCCTGACTACAGCTTTGTAAAGCCTTATCAGTTCACTTACCAGTGTCCAAGAAGGAGAGTGTCCAGAAGCCTATCCAGACCCCAGCTTGTGAGTGCTTTATACCTTCATGGTAGACGGAAAATTTGCTTTTAAAGAGATCATTGCTAGGGACTAAGGTTGAGTTTCCTTGTTGATCTATCATTGATAGAATTTCATATCTTAGCTCTTTCTCTTTATATCACATGCTGCCACCATTTTTTACTTCACAAATTGCCCAGAACTCCCATCCCAGGGTGCTACTCACTTCTTAAACTATAACTGTGGCACCTTCTCCTCAGGAGGTTTTGTGGGTAGTAAAATTCATCCTTGCCACATTCTGTACAGCCCAGAAAAAAGAAAGCAGCTGCTGATTCCTATCCTAACTCATTAAATCTTAAAAGGAAATTTAAAAAAAAAACAGTGGAAGCCATGGATGAAGGTAATCCTCTGCTGCCAAGGGTCTGGGTTGTTGAAGTCCGTGACTATTCCTTCCAAAGGCCCTTTTGGCTAAGAATCGTCTGTTTTGTAGTCAGTGCTGTTAATTCAGCCAGTAGCCAGCTCTATTTCCTGGAATTAGGAAGAGCAGGTGTGAGTCTCTAAACCACGCCCCATCTATCTCCCTGTCACTCCCTCTTCCTCAGTTCCCAGCCCCATCCCTGCCCATCGCTGGAACTGTAACTAATGTACCATTTAAGGAACATTCCAATGTTCTGGAAGCTGCAGACAAATGCTGGCCACTCATTGGCACTCCAGAAGGGGCACAGCTGTTTCGTCCTTGCCTAAAGAGGACTGGAAAAACAGGCCTTGGGAAATGCAAGAACAATTCTGGGAGGAGGACCCATACTTTAACCCTTAAACAACCATTGGAACTTCCCCAGATATCGTCCATCTAAATTGCTCTGGTGGATGACAAGCTGTAAGACAACAAAGAGAGAGGAGATAGACCATAGGGGTGCTTCTGCAGCCAGACCCATGGTTCATAGGTCTTAGGCTAGCCCAGTAATTAGACACCTGTCAGATTGTTCCATGGCAAAGGGCAAATGTTCATATGATACATACATCATGAGGTGCATGCATTACTGACAGCTAAGTAACCAAAATACTGACAAGAATCATATGAGGTAATAATATTATTATCCCATTTTACAAATGCAAAAATGGGCTTAGAGAGGCTGAGTAACTTGCCTAAAGTCACACAGTAACAAAGTAACTGACAGTTCTGGGATTTGAATACCAGAATCCATTATCTTGCCAGAATGCCTCACTATCTTCATAAATCTGAACAATGAGTAAGGCCCTCCCTGATTTGTAAGGTCTCAAAAGATTGGCTGCTTCGTTGGGTAAAAAGTTGGGAGCACAAGCCTTTAGTGGTCTGTTCAAGCCTGGGTGGGGAATATTCAGGACAGACACCTAGAGGAGGCCCCCAGGTAAAACTATCTATCTGGAGCAGGAAGGTTTAGAAAGACTGACAAGTTTAAATGGGGCAATGCTTGCTTTTGCCTGAGGGGAGGTGACAGACTAAACTAGCACAGTACCAAGGTCATCTCTCCTCATGTAGGGCCAAGGGGACTCATTACTAATGCCTTTATCTTATCTACAGCTTTCTGGCCCACACATTTTGAGGCAGAAAGAAGATATTGCCAAGGGAATAAACCCGTGTTCATTCCCTTGATTCCTCTTCATGCTTGAAAATGGATCTCTTGGCCCTCTAGGATGGCTCTGGGCTGTAGGTCTATTCCCAGGATGGGAATTGGAGTGGAGAAATGGAGGCAGATACAGAGGACATTCCCCATTTAGGATAGCTAGTGAGCAACAGGCTAGAACCACAGGCACACAGACATGGTTGTTTCTTCTCTGGGGACTCCAGCTAAATCAATGTGTCCATGTCACAGTTCCGTTTCAGCTCATCTTACACAAACATAAAAGGTCAGTTCCATTTCCAGCTGGATAACTATAGTCAGTCTCTCTCTTTCTCTCCCCCTGCCCACCAACTTTATTTGGTTCATTATGCAATTTAAAAAATTTGAACTCATTTTGAGGTGCAGTGAGGCTGTGTGGTTTATCCCAGTTTCTGATTGATGATTCAGTTCAAATCTGTAGTTCCAGCATCATGTCACTTCTATGGTGAAGCCAAATACATTTGCCTGAGAGGTTCCCAAGGAAGGATAGAAAAGAGCACTGGGCAGCCATGTCATGCTCATTTGCGTCACCCTGTGCTACATAGTCCTGGGACAAGCGTAATCCTAATACAACCTGCAGAAGGGCAATTCATACAACCGTGCATCTGAGCTTACAGCAATAATAACAATATTAATAATAGCAATAATGATGGATGCCATTTATAGAACACTTAGGATCTGCCAGGCAATGTGCCATGGTATTGATATGCATTCTTTAATGTAGCAAGTACTACGCTACTGTCCTTGTTTACCAGATGAGGACACTGAGGCCCAGAGTGTCAAACATCATATCCAATATTAAACAGCCAGAAGTGGTAGAATCAGGATAAGATTATGAAAGTCTGAATTTCAGATACTGTCAGGAATATGGATAAATATATGCTGAAGATTCTACAACTTTCCCAAATTCACATACAGCAAGTATCAGTGATTAAGTACCATTTCTTCCTGCTGTCCTCCCCAACCTTCATTATGGTCTCTTTGGAAAGAAGAGCCACTTAAACTTTGCTAGGGATGAATAAGATTTTAAATAAGTAGTCAAGGATAAGCCTTGATTAGAAGTAAGTCCAGTGGAAATGAGTCAAAGCTTGAATTCTAGGTCATGTGAAAATAAATGCTGTTTTTCAACCCCTTGCAAATATCTATAATCACTTAAGCTAAATTGCTAAGACACCTGCCATAATGAAAGACAAAGAATGATCTGTATTCAGGACATCAGCCAAGGTCCAGAAGACTCCCAAGCAATCTCCCCTCTGCTCTCTGTTGAAGTACACTCCCTATAATCTTGTTCATAGTCATCTTGTGCTCAGCAACACTTTCCACTGGAGATAAGAAAGGAGAAACTGCATTCAGACCCCCGACACAGTCAATCTTCACCGATTCCAGGTCGACAAAGTCCAATAAGAAAGGCTACCCTGAATCTGCCCGAGTTGATTATGGTTCATGAGTTCAGTGGGAAGGTGGGACTTATTGGCAAGCACTGACTACTGTCATCTTCAATTGCTCTACAGGTCTGATTTTAGTCATTTACTTCTTCTTCTATGCCTCCCTGGCTGCTGTGATCACCCTATTCTTGTACATGCTGTTCCTAACCATCAGTCCCTACATGCCAACCTTCACTGAGCAGGTGAAACCTCCCGGTGAGTGTGCCCAAATGCCCTGCATTGTCAGAACTCTCTGGACAGAAATCTGCTTGCACAGCATGTTCGGCCTCAATTAACTTTGCTTCTTCCCAGCAATGACTTAGAGATTCAATTATTAAGAGGAAAAGTGAAACAGTACTTGGCAAATTACGGTCCTTTTCATTTTGATTGCCTGGAGGGTGGTATCACAGGAATCCATATAGAAAAAAGTCCAAGAATGGGTTAATATATCCAAGACCTGTTTTCATTGCCAGGAGTTATGATCAGACCCTTCGCTCACAGCCTTAACTTCAACTTCAACGTTTCCGAACCTGAAACTTGGCAGCATTATGTGATTAGCCTAAATGGCTTTCTCCAGGGTAAGTTCCCCTGAGCAGTGGAAATCTCTTTAGAAAAGTAGTGGGTGGGAATCCAAAATTCAAACTCCATGTGGCCCGGAAATCTGATGTAGTCACTCCTACCCATCATGGTCCTGTGTCATTTTGTATGCCTGCCAGCACCCGTTATACGGTTTTAAAAATGCTGACTGTGTGTTGCCCAATGTGAGCTCTTTAAGGCACACAGCTTGTTTTCTCTTTATGAACACCCTCCAGCACCCAGTTACATCTAGACTACACCCAGGTGATCATCTTTCTGTGTGACCTCTTATAAAAGATAATTCTAAGGGAGAAAATGGCAGCGAAGGGGGGTTGTTCTCCAGGGTCCCGCCTCCTACACTTTCTCGGGGTAAGAGAAATCTGGAGACAAGCTATCTTGAAGAGGGAAAGTGTCTTTTGGTAATAGCAATTTAGAAAGGAGTGAGAGGACTAAATCTCTAACTAGCATTTTGATCTCAAGTATTTTGAGAATTCCCGTGTCTATAGTGTTCTCAGATACACTTTCCAGGACAAAAGAATGGCCTTGTTTTTCACTCCATGAAAGCGAAGGTGGTAGTAGTTTGGGGAGTCTGTGGAACTTTAGGAGAGAGAACAGCTCCAGAAGAAGTGAGGTCCTGGGAGGCAACCCTTGAGGCCTTATAGCCAGCCCTCACTCTGCTTCCTGAGTGTGGATGTAATGTGACCACCCAGCTGTCCACCCCTGCCACGGTGCCTTTCCTGCCGCCATGTGTTCTCTATCATGATGGACTGTAGCCCCCCCAAAAAACCCATGAGCCAAAATAAACCCTTTCTCCTTGAATTTGCTTCTGCTGGGGTATTTTGTCACAGCAACACAGAAGTAACTAAGAAGCCCAACTTGGAAATGACAGCACATGCCTGTAAAATAAACATTCAGGAGTTTGAGGTAGGAGGATAACTTGGACTTGGGAGTTCCAGACCAGCCTGAGCTATGGAGGAAGACAACCATCTCACAATAAATACATAAATGAATACCATCTTGAAGTTTGCATTGCTACCCCTAAATTTTGTAGATAGGGACACTGAGCTAGACTGCTTTGGATAGCCTGGCCTGGCTAAAATGGGGTGGGGGTGAAGGTAGCTAGTAGAATATATATTGATTTAGGGGAACTGTCTCTTAGCCTAGAAGTGTTACTTTTTTTAAATAGGGTCTCTTTTCTTTTAAAGATTTATTTATTTATTACATATACAGTGTTCTGCCTACATACCAGAAGAGGGCACCAGATTGAATTATAGATGGTTGTGAGCCACCATGTGATTGCTGGGAATTGAACTCAGGACCTCTGGAAGAGCAGTTAGTGCTCTTAACCACTGATCCATCTCTCCAGCCCCGGAAGAGTTACTCTTAAACATGTACGTTTTGTCATTCAGCTTTCACCAGGCAGTATTTGTCCTTGTTTTTTAAATGAGAGAATTGCAGCTCAGAGAGGCCAAGTAACTTGATCACAAACTCCTGGCGGCAGAGTCACTTTGTGAACCCACATGCTTCGGTGCTGTCTGCTACTCAAAAGTGGTAGCCTAAGATCTGCAGCATGGGCATCACACAAGTGTTGGTAGAATCTCAGAATATATCCATAGCTATTGAAGCAGTATCCATTTCACATTTTTCAGGTGATTCGTGTGCACTTTTAAGCTTGAGAAATGGCATATCTCCTAACTATGCTGTTGCCATTTAAGTGGGAGTTAGGAACTCAGCCTTGTATTAGTAACACTCACTGCTATTTGGGGTGAGACAGCTTCAGAGTGCGCACCTGTAGAATGACAGAGCTGGCTTCTTTCTGGTCCCTGTAGTTCTATTTTGAACCACGAAAGTATTTTGGGCATCTTAGTCAGCACAGCATCTTTCTTTTAAAATGCTTGTGAGCTATTTCAAATATGCATATTGCCAGACTTTCTCCCGAGGAAATCCCTGCGATAAGATAGTAGATGCGAAATTACCAGTTTTGACCTGGTGATGAAGGCAGGGAACAACAGGAAGGCATTGGGTTACTTATGAAGAGTTTGGACCTTCTAAATCCACATATGCTGTGTTGATACAGGAGAGAACCTGTTACTGCAGCCTCAGAAGGCAGAGACACGAAACCCTGACTAGTGAGACTAGCCATACGGTTGATCTCCGTGTTTGACTGAAATACCCTTGCCTCAATACATAAGGTGGAAGAGCAAGCCAAGGAGATTCCCAAGCTCAGTCTTGGGTCTCCACATGAACATGCACAGGGTATATATGTATACACACACACACACACACACACACACACACACACCGCATACATAGCACCTATGCATGAAAATAAGAAAAAATAATAGATAATATGTCCTTCCCAAAAGGAACTATCTGAAATAAATATCCCGGAGCATCAATTTTGTTCCTATGAGAATGGGAAGTTTGCAGTAAATACCACACCCATGTCACATTTTAAATGGAACTACCTTGAGAAAAATGCTGAGCAATGCGAGTGCAGTTTCTATTTTAAAAATTAATATTTGAGCATAGTTCCTATTCCTTTAAAAAGATTAAAACAAATTCTTGAACTAAATGTAGTTTTGTCAAGATAAAAAATGTAGCCATATTAGTGTGCATCTAAAATTCTCTGGACTGGGAACATAGCTTAGTGGTAGAGCCTTTTCCTGTTATGTACAAGGTCCAGGACTGCAAGTAAAATTCCCAATGGAGAGGAGAGATAAATAAAGACATAATGGTATCTATATGTGAAAATACTACAATGAAACCTATTTTTGTATACTAACTTAAATGCAATTCAACGTTTAAAAGTTGAGGAATTTTAAGAAAAATAAAATAAAATTCCCAGTTACATCTTGATAACATTATATTCAAGTCAGAGTCTATCTAGATGTGGAACCAGCTGTCCTTTCTGAGTTTGACCTCTGCTGGTTCACAGGTGTACAGTCTTTTCTAAACAAGTGAGTGATTTCAGACAGGGCAGCATGTCTGGATGCAAGAGGATTCACAGTACTCCACCATCGAGAATGATGCAGTACATTTCCAAAGCCCATTTTTATGGAATCTGAGGGCTCAAATAGTGAACACATGAATAGCCTCAGTTCTCTGTCTGAGATGTGTAGCTGGGACAAATGTTATAATCTGTCTAACACAAAAGGACCAGAACGCAGAGTATCTCAGACTTAGAGAAGCCCTCACTCTCTTGGTGGAGACCCTGTAGTTGTCATCAGTCTTGAACTTTCAATGTAAACTTCCTTTTTGCAGTGGTAACTTGCCTCTTTAGAAGTTGAGGAGTTGTTGTTTTTGCCCTCCTCTTCTTCTCTCCTCTCCTGCTTTCATATTCCTTCTGTTCCTCCCACCACAGCTGCCTGCCCTTGACCTCAAAGGGAGACATTTCCCAAATTGAACTTAAGGAATTTTAGCCTAGAAACAGCCTCGTGACATATACTCTGCCTTGATACAATGTAGCTACTCTTCCAAAATCGACTGATACAGGCCCATTCTTCTCTCAGAATAGGAGGGATGGCCACTCCAATTTTGTTGTTGGTCGTACACAAAAGGAAATAATGGGAAATAGAAAAAAGTTATAAGATGATCAATCTATAACCCTGAGATGGACACTTGAAAGTTCTAAAGAAAAGAGAAGCAAGGGACACTTGAAAGTTCTAAGGAAAAGAGAAGCAAGGGATTATACCATCAGGTGGACTGAGAGATAAGAAGCCTTCCTAGAGCAGTGGTTCTCAACCTGTGAGTCACAACCCTTTTAGGTATAGCTTATCAGATATCCTGTATATGGGATATTGACATTATGACTCAAAACAGTAGCAAAGTTAGAGTTATTAAGTAGCAATGAAAATAATGTTGTGGTTGGGAGTCACCACAACACGAGGAACTGTATTAAAGGGTCACAGCATTAGGAAGGGTGAGAACCACTGTGTAGATGGATGATGATAGGAATATCCCTCAGGTACCTAATACCATTCCACGGGATTAAGGTAGAGCAGGAGAACTTCTGAAGTACAAGCAATGTGAGGAAAGAGACTTAGAGAAAAGCACTAAATAAAAGTGTGGGTTTCCCTTCTAGCACTTTTGTAACATGACCTTTTGCCACTCACATATGCTGTAGGCTATAATGACAGTCTTCAAGAGGAAATGAATGTAGATTGTCCTCCGGGACAATACTTCATCCAAGATGGAGATGAAGATGAGGACAAGAAGGCCTGCCAATTTAAGCGTTCCTTCCTGAAGAATTGCTCTGGACTGGAAGACCCTACTTTCGGATACTCTACTGGACAACCTTGCATTCTCCTCAAGATGAACCGGGTATCTTAGCCTTTGGGATATGTTGATGATAAGTGGATGTGTAGCGTAAGAGAGTGTGGAAACCACATGTCTGTTGGACTCTGGTATTTACACACTGCGGGTTTAGCCATTTTTAGCCATCAATCAAAAATGCAAACAACCAGACAAATTTATTTTTCCTGAACATTTTCTAGTGTCCTTCTTCCTGTACACAAACCTGCCCCTTGAGGGCCACTGATTAAATGTGATGGAGTGTGTCTCTAAACTCAGCACTCAGGAGGCAGAGGTAGGAGGGTCTCAAGATCCCAGACATACTCAGTCTCAAAAATAAAATGGGGGTACTGAGTTGTTTGGAACACTGGGTTGATATGGGGACATGATGGCGAGCAATTCTTATGTTTTCATGTCACTTAAAAATGTACTGTTCCAGGCCAGAGAGATGGCTCAAAGGCTAAAAGCCCTGGCTGCTCTTCTAGAGGACCTGGGCTTGGTTCACAGCTTCCACATGGCAGCTCACACCTGTCTGTAACTCCAGGTCTCAGGGGATTCAACACTCTCTTCTGGCCTCTGCAGGCATTGGGCATGCATATGGTGCACACACATACATACAGGCCAAACACCCACACACATATAAATTAATAATTAATGTTTAAAATGCACCTTTTTGAAAAGCATGCCTTCCTTACAGAGTGGCAGAAACTTTTGCTAAATATAGTCTTAGTGAAACTAGGAAGTTCTTTACATAGTTTTGGTTATTTTGCAGCAGCTTTTTTCCCTCTGTGTATAAACCTAAGACACAAATATATCAAGGAGCAAGCTGGGCTATGTAACTCTGAAGTTGTTTGTAACATTTTTGAAAGGGGGCATAGATGAAATTTATATGTGAGGAGTGAGGAACAAAAGCAGGGAGAAAAATTCCATTTTTGCTGTGTAATCCATTTCTTTTACTTAAATTTTATTTTATTGGGGGTGTTGAAAGGGTAAAGGGCAGTTACAAAGGGCCAGGGAGATGAGTGGCATTGGGATACATGATGTGAAATCCACAACGGGTCAATATAAAGTTAAAAGAAAATAATGAGTAAAGGAAGATAAATATAACTATACATGGACAAAATGATAATTTGTTCATTAAAAAATCACAAGACACGCATTCAGAAAATATACCATCAATATTTGTGTAACATGTTTCTTAAGAAATTCAAAAATAGGTTGGGCGGTGGTGGCGCACGCCTTTAATCTCAGCACTTGAGAGACAGAGATAGGCAGATGTTTGTAAGTTCAAGGCCAGCCTGCTCTACAAAGTGAGTTTCAGGACAGTCAAAGTTATTACACAGAGAACCCCTGTCTTGAAAAAACAAAAATAAGTAAAACAAAATAAATAAATAAATAGATAGATAAATAATGGATAAATAAACAAACAAATAAATAAATAAATAAAGCACTGGTTTTCTTTCATTAGATTGTAGGCTTTCGGCCTGAGCTTGGAGATCCTGTGAAGGTGTCCTGCAAAGTTCAGGTAAACTATCCTTTTGAGTAAGTATACTTAACAATTTTGTTTCAGGCAAACAGATAGTTCTGTTCCAAGGACTTCTACATGGGTGATAAATAGGAAAATCATTAGTGTTTTTCATAATTATTCCTCCTTTTAGTGAATTAAGGGCTTCTTATTTGCAGAAAGCATTCAATGTGTGTGTGTGTGTGTGTGTGTGTGTGTGTGTGTGTGTGTGTGTGTGTGTGTTTTACACCTGTGAAAGCCAGAGACAGAACCTCAGCTAGGGGCCATAGCAGGGAGCAACACTGTGCCAAGACATTAATTGGGATCCTGTTTACACTTTGCTTTTATTTCTAATGGCTTGTTTCTTTGAACTAAACAAGCAGCTTTCATTAGAGTCATTAGTCCCTGATTTTAAAACTGAATTTCACATTTTACAGCAATGACCAGTGGCACTGGGTGTTGTAGTAACAAATGACTACAACAGAAGTATAAACAGAAGTCCATTAATATGCTAATTAACTGTCCTTCAAGGGACTATTGACTCCTATCTCATCTGCACCAATTAGTTCCTTTGTAGGCAAAACCCCTCAATTTTGGCATTGCTTCTTAAACAGGCAGTAGCTCCCTTCTGTTCAGTGACATCATCTGCATTCCCTAGCCTTGGACAGTTGTCTTGCAAACATTACAAAAATAGTCATTGTCAGAACTAGGAATAAAGCAGACAACTCTAGTCTTCATGGGGCAGAGCAGCCACTCAGCCACATTCAGCAAGTGTTTATTGATCACGTATAATATTCTAGGTATTTAGCTAGCTGTTGGGGATGTCTAAGTAAACATAACTGAAATCAGTGCCAAGAAGTATTAAGAGACAGAATGAAAGGTACTGAGAGGGCCCGAAAGAGAGAATGGACGTTTCCATGGGAGGTGGTAAAAAAGGAAGGTGAGCTTTATCTCATAAGGTCAGACAATATTTGCCAGCTGAACAAGGTGAGAACAGAAGAGCGTTCATTCTGCTGAGATGCACATGTGTGTGCATAAAGTCACATGTGGGGCATGACTACAAACTAATGGGTTGATCCCGCAGGCCATCATTAAAGAGAAATTCATTCATTTTTGAAGATATGAATAAGTCATAAAGACCAGTGCAGTCTAAAGTAACAGCAAGTGCCGTGTCACTGAGCCTTAATCTAACGTATTAATTAGGCCAACTTCTATTTGCATTTCCCTAATGTAAGCTGTTCATTTTCCAACTTATATACCGAACCTTACTGAGAATGATCCTTTTAAAAAATAGAAACACTAAGCCAGGCAGTGGTGGTGAGCGCCTTTAATCCCAGCACTCATGAAACAGAGGCAGGTGGATCTCTGTGAGGTCGAGACCAGCCCTGTCTACAAGAGCGAGTTCTAGGACAGCCTCCAAAGCCACAAAGAAACCTGTCTCAAAAAAGAAAAAAAAATAGAAACACTAACAGTTTCTATACTTTTTAAAAAAATAATCAATACTGGTCAAATCCATACCCACTTGTAGCAGTCAAGCAGGATGAGGTAATAACCAAATATGATTATAGCATATAGTATATTGACAGAAGGGATCCTATGGCTCTAATGAGTAATTGGCTAATAGAGATGTACCCTTTGTCTGCACAAGCCCCCAAACTGTACCTATTTGTAACAGCCATAGTTAATGGGCATTCCATTACCGTGCGTGATATGATTAAGCGTAGCATGGTTTAATCATCCCCATTATTTGATTCCTCTTGCTTACTGTCTGAATTCTGTAGACAGAAGCATGCATTCAGATGAGCTAACCACAGACTGTATGGCTATACATCAGGTTTCTGTGTACCTGATCTGACTTCCAATAGAACTGAATCTGCAATGAAGACATAGGAAATGTTCTCTAATGTATACCTGCTTCAGCTGCAAAGCCAAGGCAGGGTCCCATACTGCGATTCTTTGGAAATAGGTTATAATCACAGGCTCTTTCTAGGACAGCACCAAGTACTCAAGGGCCTTTGAAGCCTTTCCACGTAGGACCCAAGAAACCAGAGCAGAGCCATACTTAACTTTGCCCTCAACCGCCCAGGCCTTCTTCTCAATTTTCTTTAAACTGTAAAGCCAAGGCACAGTCACACCCTGGAAATACTTCTCTAAGGACAAGTCAGGCTTGAGCTCTAGCCAATTCCAAGTTTAGGTCAAGTCCCTTTAGACTAGACACTAACTCACTCTGTAGCCCAACATCTCACCTCTGTTTGCTCTTGCTTACAGAAAGGTGATGAAAACGACATTCGATCCATCAATTACTACCCAGAGTCAGCTTCTTTCGACCTCCGCTACTACCCTTACTATGGCAAACTGACTCACGTAAGCTGTATCCTTCTTTCCTCCTGTTTCATAAAGGGCACAGAGACAAAGGAAGGGCTGCTTGGGATTGGTGAGAATTGGGGAGCAGTGGTAGTAACAGTCAGATGAGTAGCTGTAAATGATAAAGGGAGGGGGAGGTTACTCCTTGGAAAGACTGTCAAGGAAGGCCAGTTGTTGTGGCACACGCCTTTAAACCCAGCACTTGGGAAGCAGAGGCAGGTGGATTTCTATGAGTTCAAGGCCATCCTGGTCTACAGAGCGAGTTGCAGGACAGGCTCCAAAGCTACACAGAGAAACCCTGTGTCAAACAAAACAAAACAAAAGACTGTCAAATATGGTCTCATCTAAACACTTCAGTTTTCAGATGAGAAATTGGAGCTCAGAATGGGAAAGGGACTTACCCAAAGTTACACAGCTATTTAGTGGCCAAGCCAGGGAGAGACAGATGATTAACCGTGTGTTTAATGTCCAAGTAATCACACATTCCTGTGGGCCAGTGCAGGCTTCATTTCCAGTATAGAATCTTGAGGGATACTAGTCCTGGTTTGATTTATGGTCTGATATCCATAAAATCAAATCATTCTGAGTCAGAATTGGCTTCCCCCCAGAGGATAATCAGACATCTTGACATTGACTTATGAGAGAGCCATGTAATTTCTCCGAGGCAGGGAAAACATGTTGGTTGCTATGATCATTTGGGGCGTTGCATCATGAAGTCTGCTCAGTTCCCTTTGCCGAGGTTACCCTAACCTGTCTTGAGTCTCTAATCACCACCCCCATCCTTGACCCATTTAGAATCCATTGTTCTTTCACCTACAGGTTAACTACACCTCCCCCCTGGTGGCAATGCATTTTACAGATGTGGTGAAGAACCAAGCAGTGCCTGTACAGTGCCAGCTGAAGGGCAAAGGCATCATAAATGATGTCATCAACGATCGTTTTGTGGGGAGGATAGTCTTTACCCTGAACATAGAGACCTAGGAACTCCAGGGGCCGCTCCCACCAGTTCTGGTTGTTTTTTTGTTATTCCTGGTAGCACCTCGATTCCTTTTTCTTCAGTTAAGACACAGCCAGATGGACGCCTAAGACAGCAGATCATCTTTCCTTACCTTTGACGTGTGTATGAAGTGATATTGTGAGACCTGCTTGGTTTGTTTTTTTAAAGGTCATCTCTCCCGATGACAAATAGTCTATATTAATTTCCTCTCCTTCCTTTCAAATTCAGGCATATTCTTGCTGCTAGAAGTCTCACTGTATACACAAACAGTATCTGATAGCATTCACCATTGTCAGGACAATGTCTATCATGTTTTTCTAAGAATATGTTGGTTTTAGAGGTGATATTATTCCCAGCCAGGTGGATATTCTAACCCCACCCACCTTTAAAACTGCCTTTCTCAAAACACCAACACAAAACAAACCCAGATTATGCTATACCTAAAGCCACTCTCCATACAGAACTTTATATGGGGGAGGGGGCTTGAAAATTTGGCTGTCTCCCATAGGCGACTCAATACTGATTCAAGACGCCATTGTTTTCCGCCAGGACAGCAAGCAATGCTGACAGGTTATTGATCTGGTCTAGAGATGAAGACCTTCTGTGAGACTTTTTGTGGGGGGAGGTAGATCCTAGTGCAATTGAGGAGAAGTGGTAGCATAGGGATTTACTGGTTGTTGACTGCTCGATAGTATAATCGTGCAAAAGCAAAAATTCTTGCAAGCAAGCCTTTTCTCAACTCCTAGCAGAAGAGAAACTATGAAAAGTCTTCTTTGGTCAAATCTTCTTGGCCCATTTGCTTGATAGTTGTGTGGTTTTCTTTGAGATCAGCAGGGATGGGTGCCTTGACCCCCCAGCTATGACCTTGGGGATTGAAATTAGGGTTCTCTAACTAATACATGGCAAGACAGAAAGCTCCTGCCAGGCCTCCCTGAAGCCAATGCTCATTAGCCAGTTTTGCATTTACTTTAAAAATCACGAGGCAGATGTTTATCCAGGTTGTGGATCAGCCAAGTTGCTTTGTTTTTTCTTTGGCCATGTGACCATTCCAATTACTTCTTAAAGCCTCCACCAGGGGGAGGGCTGGAACAAAAAGAGGAGGCAAGCATTACAGACCAGCATAGTGTCTCAGGGTCCAAAGCAAACGAAAATTCCACTTACCAGCCTGCAGAGTCTGAATCTACACTACAATGTTTAGTTTCTCCAAGGACGTGCAACTGGAAGACTGCTGGGGAGGACTGTAGTATTGGGTGACAAGAGACGTAAATATAGCATATGGGAATGCTATGGGGAACATGAGGGGCAGTCACTCTCCCTGGCTGAGTAAGCAGCCGAGGAAATTACACATTCAAAGCCACGAGCACGAAGAAATCTCGTGCTTTGGTAAGTCTGAACAGTTCACATGAGAGCTCAGCGGAAATGCTGGGAGAGTGGATTGCATGAGTGTTCAGAAATGGTGAGTGAAAGGGAGTCATTAAAGTGTTGTAATCAGGGCATCTCTGTGAGCACTTTTGCATTTTCTCAAGAGCACTTGGGCAGTAATAGCATAAGGAATGAATCAAAGACAGAGAAGACAAGACCAAGACAGGAATTGGGGGAAGGAAGAGTATAACATGACCCAGGCTTTCGAGCTTGGCTAAAAAACTGTGAGTTGGTGATATTGTTAATCCTGCCTAGGTGTAAAAGAGCAAGTGATTGGAGAGGAAGTTGTTAAGATCACTTTGGGACAGATTTAGCTTGTGGTTTCCTCTGGTCAGACACTGATGTGGAGATATAAACACATGTAGAGTAGAAGAGAAGAAAAGCTGAGAACAAAAGCAACATTTGGTTAAGCGAACTTATTTAGGACGTGCTTAGTCTTGGGAACTTGAGCCAGTTGAGCTTGGGGGCTAGAACACACAGATCTAGCTCCTAACACGGTGCTTTTCTCTGGGTTTCCTGGCAGAATGGACTCCTATTGCCCTCGGGAATGTCCCTCCCAAACCCCGTATAGATCTTCTCCATAGACTAGAGAAGGGGTGACCACTTTTAACAAGCAGCTGAAGATGAGCGGGACAGCAGGGCTACATAACACACAGACACAAAGAATCAGACTCCTCTGGACCCTACTTTCTCAACAAGTTCAGTTTCCTAGCCTTTGAACAGGAGACTAAGGAAACGAAAAAGACAACAACTTGAGACCTCTTAAAAATGGCCTCAATCAAATTCTCAAGACTTAATAGCAAAAGAGTACACACCATCAGATCGGGAAAGGCTCTTTAGGGAAAACAACCTGCATTGCATCTGACTCCAGGTCCAGTGCTCTTTCTCCTCAGAGCCGCTGCTTACCAGCAAGTACCATCTTCTGAAAAACTCATATCCCAAACATTCTGAAATATGTCAAACTTGAGTTCAAATAATTAACATTTCGCAGGAATCCAACTACTGGTGCTATATTTTATACATAATACATGGTCCTGTTGAATATGTTTAACTATTAGGTAAAAAATTAGAAATGATTTTGTCATGTGTGTTTCTCATTCAATGGCAGATATCATGTCCACAGTTTCCAAGAAGTCTTGAAAAGTACCAAGACAGTTTGGGCTATCAGCTGGAACTTGAAAAACTAGCTTTCTTATACAAAACTGGATACTATACACAACTGGATTAATGAGTGTGTCCGTTCATGTGAGAGTCTAACTGTTCAATAAACTTCTAGTTGATTAATTTAAACAGGCTCCCATACTGGGCTGTACCAGGATTTGATTTGTATGCCATCTGTTGCCATGCACTTGGTTTCACTTGGTTGTCAATGAGAAATACTGCTTCCACATGGCTTCATGGATTTGTTCTTGCTATACTTTGTGTGTGATTTTTCACTTTGCACTGCTCTAAAATGATTATTCTGAAGTAATCTTCCTTAGGCACCCATTTACTCAGGGTCTTCATGTAGAAAATATTTATATTGTCTTGGGGAATTGGTGACAACAATAAATGAAATTACAAAGAAATGTATGAATTTCTCTTTCTGGATCGTATCATTGATTTTCCCCCCACAGGGATATTGGGCAGCAAGCCATATGGGAAAAAAGCTTGACAACTGATAACCTATTAGTTCAAGACCGGTTTTCTGCTCAATATTGTTTCTAACTCTTAGGATTTCATCTATAGGGACATGAAGCTAAAAGCTGTTTTATTTGAGGGCATTTCTTTTCAGTATCCATTCTCCACTTAAGACTGCTTTGTCATAGCAGTCTTACTTTGTCACTTTATTCCTCTTCTTTTTTTTCCTAAACAGGAACTTGCTCTGCACCCCCACACTGTTCTTAAAGTCACAGTCATCCTGCCTTGTCCCTCATCATGGCCAGAATCTTCCTTTATCAGAATCGTTCTGTTTGTTTATATAGGACTTGGGCACACTGAGTGATGCTTTGAAGTGTGGGAATGGAAACAAGATCTAAATAGAAATTCTGCAAATGCTCAATGGAAGCCTGGATTGTTGCGGAATAATCATTTTGCACACTGTGAAGAGGTGTCTTTGCCAAAGCACCTTACGATTAGTTTAACAAAGAACTATACGGCCAATACCTAGGCAGGAGGTATGGTGTGGGACTTCGAGGCACAGAGAGGACTCTGTGAGCTGGTGGCCAAAGAAAAATCTGACTACACTGGATAAGTGACTTCCAGGTATATCTGACCACACAAAGTATCTCCCAAAGCAAATCTTTCATGAACATGGCAATTAAAGACAAATAGTCCCAACTCTTTATTCAACTTAGAAGCTGAGCTGCAACAGACTGATATGGTTTGATTTGGGGTATATCAAGGAAAGGGAAAACACATTTTACCCATTCTTGGCTCTTCATTAGAGTTTGTTTTTTATTGAGTTTCTGTTAAAATATCTGTATATTGCTTTAATATATTAAAGTAATTTAAATCATACAAAAATGTGATTACACTATACATTTCTCCAGGCAGAAAAGTTTGGGGGATGGAAAGAGAGACAGAGGGAGATATATGTGTCGGGGATAGTGAGGGTAGACAAGACTGATGAATGTGAAACAAAGAAAAAGAAGTTTAAAGACTACTTCACAGAGTTCTTTAGTTGAGCAGAAGGTAAAAACATTTAATAGGGAAATATAGAAGATTTAAGAAGGACACGATAGGCGCAGCCTGGCAGCTTGCTCTCCAGAATGTACTGCCTTGCAGGTTTCTGGATGAGCATAGCACTAATCAGAGTCCCAGTAAGAGACAGGTAGTAATTGACAACTTGATAGTAATTGGAAGAAGGTTTAGTTACAAAGATATCATTTACTGAAAGCATAGATGTAGGGAATGCAAATAAAACAGCACAGTAACCCAGACTACAAGGGGCTGAACCCTTGTCACTTCCTAGACCCTGAGTTTCAGGGACAGGTGTGGGGTATATAGAGTTAGCTGTCTGTCTGGAGGAAAGCGGTGGCTTCACTGAAAGGTTAAGAGAGTCTACGTGATAGGTGAGAGGAAAAAGGAGAATACATACTCAATCTTCTTCCCTCTGTCTCCTGCTAGTAATTCTCCTCAGTCAGACCAGGGGAACAAAAATAGCAGCTATTGATGTGATTCATGCAGGTCAGCCTCCCAGGGAAGAATACAGCATGCAGAATGATAAAACGGGTGTCTGGGAGATTAAAGAGCAGCTACCTAGCACAGCTGTCAGATAGACGTTCTGAGAGAAGATTCTTTGAAGTCTGCAGAATATAAGCAGTCACTGAACCAACTCCAGTCACAGGGTCAATTTTACCTTTATACCTACTCTTTTCTGTGCCTGCAGAGTCAAAAGCATTGACTTCACCATTGTAGGAAGTTTTTCTCTGTTCTTTAGTATCCATTCTCTTTTTAAAGTTCTGACTTTTCTAACCCAGTACCCTTTGGTACATCATCTTGAATGATTTTTTTTCTTGTTCATGGCAAAACAAACCAATGAACAACAGCAACAAAATCCAATTTTACTTAAGGAAAAAGGGGAACTGCTAAGTATGAATATAATTTGGTTTCTGGTGGAAGTCATGTCCAGAAACTCAAATATGTCGTTAGGAACCAATCTTTCTTTCTCCAGATTGCCCTTCTGCTCTCCATCACGCTAGTCTAATAATCAGGCTCCACACACAGTCAAGAGGGTCCCATTCTGACACGAAGCTGGAAAAGATAACTATACCTATTTCCCACACAGATGGTGAAATTCTCTGCGAAATGAATTCAAGAACATATTAAGAAGAGCACATCCAACCAGGTGTTGGGGGCACACGCCTTTAATCCCAGCACTTGGGAAGCAGAGGTAGTCAGATCTCTGTGAGTCTGAGGCCAGCCTGGTCTACAAAGTGAGTTCCAGGACAGCCAGGGCTACACAAAGAAACCCTGTCTCAAAAAAAGGAAAGAAGGAAAGAAGGAAGAAAGGAAGGAAGGAAGGAAGGAAGGAAGGAAGGAGGGAAGGAGGGAAGGAAGGAAGGGAGAAGAGAATGATATGGTGGATGAAGATGATGAGCAAAGACCCTGATGTGTTCTGTTTTGTCTTTACCAAAGAAGATAAATAAATATTCATTAACGTTTTGTTCATAGAGAAGAGATATACCTTCATAAAACAGTTCACTTGAATGAGACTGCTTTGACCCTGATAAAACATAAGCACACAGTCAGGAGGTATAGCTTGGTGGTACAGCATTTGCTTAGCTTAGTCCCCAACACCATAAAGGAACAAGAGGATGATGAGGAAGCAGAGAGCTGACTGTTTTGTAAATTAATATTAATCATTCAGTCTTAATGAAGTTGCTCGTTAGTTCCATAATCTTTGGATTTTCATCAGTTAAAAGACTCACAAGTGAGGAACAAGATGAGAATGACACCTTTCCCCCTCTTGTAGTCTTCTAAAAAAATCATCTGTCTCTATATAATAGCAACAAATAATTATTTTAATGGGCTGAAGAGATTGCTTAGTGGTTAAAAGCACTTGCTGTTCTTGTAGAGGCTGTAGGTTCAATTGCCAGCACCCACGCAGGGGCTCCCAACTATGCATAATTCCTCCAGTTCCATGGATCCCACACACTCATGTGACCTACATGAGTACTAGGCACACATGTAGTGCATAGACATAGATATAAAATATTAATAAATATAAAAATCTAAGATAAATAAAAAGAAATTTAAAATTTATAGAACAGGTCCACTTAAAATTGATTAAAACAGAGCTTGTAAATGGAAAAAGATTAACAAATGATGTGTACACTGAAAAGGGTACCAGACAAATCTATAATCACCATTATACTAAATGGGGCAATATGAGAGCATTTACCCCATCTGCAATAAAACAAGGGTTTCCACTACATTAAAAGACTTGGGCTGGGGACATAGCTCAGTGATAGAGTACTTGTCTAACATACCTGATATACTAGACTCCATCTTCAGCCCTGCCAAAAATAAAATGAAAACACTCATCAAATTGATCCATAAATTCAGTTCTCTCAAAATCCCAAACATCATTCCCTCCAGAATTTAACAAGGCACTCCTAAAATTCACAAGAATGTGAAAGAGACCTGAGTGTGTATCTTGAAAACTGAGTACAAAGCTGGAAGGTCCACCATTTACAGTTTAAAAACTTAGTCTGAAGCTGGAGAAATTAAAAGTAGTGAGAAGTACACTAGTGGCTGTCACAGAAAAGGCAGAGAGGTCAGAAGTAAACCAATACAACAACGGCCAACTGATTTTGACAAAAGGTGCTAAAACCTTTCAGTCATCAAAGAGCAGGCTCTTGAACAAATGGTGCTGGAACAACTACCACGAAAAAGAAGAAAGTCTGTACCCCTTACACCATATACAGAAATGGATCAAAGATGGAAGTAGAAGAGCTTGTAAAACAGCTGGGCAGTGGTGGCACACACCTTTAATCCCAGCACTCGGGAGGCAGAGGCAGGTGGATCTCTGCGAGTTGGAGACCAGCCTGGTCTACAGAACTAGTTCTGGAGAGTCAAGGTTACATAAAGAAACCTTGTCTCGAAATTTTTTAAAAAGTTTGTAAAATTTAAAATTCTTAGAAAAATCATATAAATCTTCAAGACCTTGGATTTTTTACAAAATGGTTTCTTAGGGCTGAGTGTGGTGGCATACTTCTGTATTTCTAGCTCTTAAGAGGCTGAGACACAATGGTCATATATTCAAGGCCATCCTGGACTATATAGCAAGACTATCTCAAAAGAACCAAAAGGTAAAGTTTTTAAAATATGATACCAAGCCTGGCAGTGGTGGTGTAAGTCTTTAATCCCAGCACTCGGGAGGCAGAGGCAGGCAGATCTCTGTGAGTTCGAGACCAGATTGTTCTACAAGAGCTAGTTCCAGGACAGCCTCCAAAGTCACAGAGAAACCCTGTCTCGAAATACAAATATATATATACATATATATATGTATATATATATATGAGATACCAAAAGTATAAGTGGCTAAAGAAAACCAGATAAGTTACACTTCATCAAAATTAAAACCCTCTGTGCTGTCAATAAGGTAAAAATATAACTCGTAGATTGTAATAAAATACTTGCATATTATATGCCCAGTAAAAGTGGACTATCTCTACTATATGTAAAGACATCTTTAGAGCTTAACTATAAAAAGACAAACCAACTAAAGAAGTGTGAACGATCTAAAGAGAAGTTTCTGTAAAGATATATAGATGAATAGTAAGCACACAAACATGTTCAATATC